AGAAAATTTGACATAATTTACTTTTACCTTTCCAAATAAAAAGCAGCATAGAGGTTTAACTGTATGATACTAGCCTGAAGTCAGTCAAGAAGAAAGCATGACTCTTAATAAATGTGGATCTGCTTTCCTTTGAAAGCAGCTTTGAAAGGAGCAATAGGAGGGAGAGCAATGTACATCTCTAGAACTGAATTTCAAAGGCCTTATTTGGCCCTTCTTCCACATGGGAAGAATTAGATAACTTTTTGCCTTTTATTTTCCATTGTAAGATCCTAAATGGGCAAATAAGTCCAGGCTATGTAGGTCTCCATGTGGGATTAGATGCAGTAGCAGCCATAGTGCAAGGAATGTAGGACACAATGGTCTATGTAACTGGCTGCTGTGAACTTTAGTGGCAAACTTTAAAAAAAGAAAGAAAGAAAGAAAGAAAAATCTTTACCACTTCAGCACAGATCTCAAAATCCCTTGAAGACACTTCCTTCAACTGGGTCTGCTGCATTAATGAGATCATGGAACAGAACTGCTAATTTAGAATTAAATGCTTTGGTGAGAAAAGCATTATAAACTAAAAAGCCAGAGTTTATAAAAAATAATTGGATGTGACAATAAGTGGTATTTTTCATATATGACTCACCATTGTGTGGATAAAGCAGCTTAAATTAAAAACGGAATCCCTTGAATTTAATTAAGTGGCTTTTAAAAATGGTTTTAAGGACATTTAAGTAATGTAGGAAAATTATGACACATCGACTTTGTCTAGTATGTCTTAAAATCCTACTAGTTCACTTCTTTTAAAATTATAATTTAAAATTATGACAACTAAAAGAATTGTTAAATCACTGTGTTGTATACCTGAAGCTAATATAACACTGTATGTTAACTCTACTGGAATTAAAATACAAAACTTAATAAAATTTTTAAAAATTTTTTAAAAATAAATACAGTGCTGAAACAAAAAATAAATACAAGTAAAAATAAAATAAAATTGTTACAACTGTAATGTCAAATTAACCAAACAAGTAAATAAAAATTGAGTAAACAGTGCAATTTTATCTGGTGCAGTTTTTATCAATATTCTTGTTATTTAAAAATCTCCTTTTCTTTGGAAAATCTGCCTTAGTTTACCTGATTATATATGTAGCTTCTATATAATTCCCAGTGTTTAAATGAATATTCAGAAATCAATTACGTCATTCATATTTTAAAAATACAACTTCTGAACAAACCATGTTAAAGTTTTTCAACTATGCTAGTTTACTGACTCACTAGAAATAAAAATACTGAGCCAAGAGATTCTAAATATTTTTCCAGCAAGTAAAATCTGTAGTGAAACCCAAGACACAGAGGCACCATTATCTAACATTCTGAAAATTTCACTTTGCTTACAATGATAAATAAAATAAACCTATCTGTTGTTTGACAAGGGAAAGAATGATTTCAACAAGGGAATAGTTTATATGAATCACCATATTTAGAGAATATACAAGAAGATTAGATTTTCTACTACAGTTAAGCGAGCATTTTTTTTTCTTTTTTGATCAGTCAGGATGTGAATCAGGTTCCTGAGGGGGCTCTGTGAACATCATTTCAAGCATCAATCATCAATGACCAAGTGAAGCCCAGAACTGAGAGTTAACAGAGAAAGAAAAGAGAATTTTCCCTAAATATATCACTTCATATTTGTATATTCCATGAGTTCTAAAATCAGTACTCTTTCAGATAAGATATTATAAAGAAGTTGGGTGATCAGAGACTACCTTGGATCAAATCATTGCAAGATTTAAATAACATCCAGTCCAGGCCCCATCTTACATAGAATTCACGACATCTGGTCATGTTTGCCTCTTCATAAAGACCCCAAATGATGGGGAGTTCATGAATTCACAATATAGCCCGCAGATTTTTGGAAAGTTATATAAGAAAGCTCATCATCATCATCATCTTCTTCTCGCTCTCTGTTTTAGAAAAGTCATCTTCTTAATGTAGGCAAAGATGCTTCATCCTTTAAAAATTTCTATAAATTTACCTTAGTTTTGCCCTATGGAAGTTATCACAGGATAGTCAAAATTCCTTTTCTTATTTGATAGCTTTTTCGTATTTAATGATAGCTTTCATGCCCTCACTTTTCCAAGTTAAGTCTTACTACTGGATTTTATGGGATATATCTATAATACCGAATAATCTTCCTTTCTTTCTTTTTTGGACACATTCTTGCTGCTAGAGTTACAGTTTGCCAGGATCCATCTCAAAATGCAGTGCTCAGAAAGAATACAACATTAAATCGTGGTCATCACTGCAAATTATACTAAGACAATCATCCCCTTCATTAGGATACTATCATTAGTCCAATTTAACAACACATTAACTCTTGCTGCCACTTACCACTACAAATACCTAGCTTCTGCCAATAAAAGCATGGTCATTAATTGTGTGGTGGATTTCCTGGACTCAAAACTAGAACTTTACATTTGTAACTACTGCTGTAAGATAATATCATGACATTTAATAAGTTAACATGAATCCCTGTATTTGAGCCTTCCTACCTAACTTATAAATCTTCAGTTCCATACAGTATTGAGCTATGTTGACCTACAAATCAATGTTTACGTTAGGCTATCTCAAGTCATCAGTTATTAATACTCAAGAATCCCCAATGAAAATGTTTTCTTGTATGGTAATTTACATTTAAGAAATTTTGCCGAGACTTCTTTTTCACTTGTTTACTTTTTAAACTGGTTTCCTAGAGAAGAACATCTCCCTAAGTGTTTCTTGATAGTTGGTCATAAAGTAAGATTAAGTGGTTGTTCAAAATTCAGACAATGGCATGCTCAATTTTATCTTTGAGGCAGGACAAACGTAAAATCATCAACAAGAAACCTTTAGTCTGATATGAATTTGCATATATACATACACAGCGCACATGAAATGAGCTACAGTACATATACAAATCACATGAGGAAAACAAAGATAAGCTACTTTATTCTAGTTAAAGTTGTCCTCTTTCCAAGAAACTTTTATCTCCCTCTTCCCTCCTTCAGGACCTATTTTCCCTTCAGCAAAAACTGAGTTTAAATTAGAGTTCTGCAAGATCCCAGTCTCCCTAAGGCCCCATCACAGCCTTCAAGTGAGGCTCATCTAAGCCAGGTTGGAGCTGAGGGAGCCTAAGCTGTAACCAAGGGGCTTTTCCATCCAGCTCCTCCTCAGAAACACACCCCTCACATCGGAAGCCAAAAGAGAGTCCAACCACAGAGATCTTCCACTCAACAAGGGCAACCCCTGAGGAGAGAACATTCGGGTAACCATTTCTCTCCTCCCGACCCCCAACACCAGAACCCGCTCCTGGTGCCGCGCCTTCTTCTCGAGCCTTCTCCCGCCGGCCAACTCGGGGTGAGCGCCCGGGTTAGTCAGTGCGCACGTGACGCGCGGTGCCCACATGACACGACCGAGGGCGGGGGAGGGGGACAGAGGAGCGAAGCAGGGAAAAAGTTAAGGAAGACCCGTCAAAGCGCCCAAAGCAATCTGTTCCTTCCCTTCTTCCTCAACTAGTGGCTCCGGGAGGGATCCTTAGGGGATGGCTGCGGACCAAGGCGTCTCCGGTCCAGCTCCCCAAAAGGAGGGCGTAGTTCTCCGCCCGCCTCGCCACCCTCTGTTCCTCCCCACCCTGCTGGTGATGCCGCTGCACCCTCAAGTTGTTCCTTCCTCCCCTTTTCTCCCTCCCTCTTTCCTTGCTTCCTCCCTGCCCTCCTTCCTCCCTTCCCTAAAAGCTCTTCATCCACTGCGGGCTAAGCCACTGACGCACATTCAATTTGCCCCGGGAGCTGGCCCGCACCTCTGAGGTCACACAAGGCCAAACACCTTCCAAACTGGAGGGTCTAACTGCGCAAAGTTGCACGCCACACCGCAACCTGCCCCTCCCTTCCATTTAGCAGCCCCGTTCGGATCCCCTGCAAAGCTCACTTGCTTTGCCGGTATTCTCTCGACCTCACCCACCGTCGCGCCACACACCCCCTTCCACACGCGAGCCCACCCTTCCATTGCTCTGCGCTTCGAGCCGTCCAGCCGCCTGGCAAAGCACCCAGCAAGCCGCTGCGCTCACCTTGTTTGACACACTTGAGTCGGAGGGGGTCCTTGCAGTGTTTGATCACGGCCAGCACGTCCCTGATGGTGAGCCCCGCCACGGGGGTCTCGTTCACTTCCAGCAGCAGCTCCTCCGACACCAACTTGCTGCCGCTCTCATAGGCCACCTTGCCGGGCTTCACCTCCCCCAGGTAGGGGAACTGTCCGTTCTCGGCGCCCCCTTTCAGTTCAAAGCCCAGCTGGCCCTCCGGGTTCCTGCCAATGACACTCTCATGGACTTTGCTAGTCCAGTGGCTTTTCTTTTTCAAGCTTTTGGACATGGCAGTGGGGTGAGTCGCCTCAGCTCCTGAGGGGTTCCTTTGGGGTAAGGGAGTTGGTGGTCAGAGAACGAGGATGGAGGAGCAAGGGGGCCAAGAGGTGAGAAGAGCAGACTTTGCCTTCCTCCCCCTTCTGTTCGGTGCTTTCCCTCTTCTTTGGATGGAGTGTGGATGATGAAGGGGGAGGATGAGAGGGACGGCTGGGCAGAGGTAGGAGAGCTTGGGTGAGGTTGTGCTGTCCCTTGAATGACACTCAAGGCTGTGGCCCCGCAGCAGAGGAGAGCTGTGGTGGCGGCGGCGGCGGCGGCGGCGGCGGCAGCCTGAGCGAGCAGTAGCCGAGCTGGTGAGCGAGTGGGGTGGGGGTGGGGAAGGAGGGTAGGGATGCCGGGGGCCACCCCTGCGTGGTGCGAGTGGGAGCGCGCGCGCGCCTGGGTGTGTGTTGTTAGCTGATATCCATGGTAGCTGCAGTGGCAGCGGCGGGGTCCGTGTGTGTGTGTGAGTGTGTGTACTAGTTGTACTGTACTGGCAGGAGGGGAGGAGGCAGAGGAGGAGGGAGCAAGCTGGAGGGGGAGGAGGGCCGCGCGCGCGCGCCGGGTGGGGAGCCGCTTCGCCACTGTCTCCGCTCCCTCCCTCCGCAGCTTGACCCGGTAGTGAAGGCGGAGAGAGAGGCAGGCTGGGTCCGTCTGGCAGCCGACGAGAAGAGGCGGGAGCGGGAAAGGAGGGGAGCCGAGGCCCGGCGTGGGGAGGCCGGCAGGAAGGGCTTCGAGCCCGGTGCGGACCTTTTTTCAGCCTCCAAGCGGCCGCGCGGCTCCTTAGGCTGCTGCGCCGTGAGACGCGCCGACTTCCTCCAGACTAGCGCTCGGCGGGAGCAGAAAGAGCGAGACCTGGACTTGCGGCGCGCCCCCGTGACCGCGGCTTTGGCGGGAGCGCGGCGAGCCCCCTGGCGCGGGACCCTGCCGTGGGAAAGCCGAGCTGGTGGGACCCCGTGGACCTATGGGGGAGGCCTGGGCGCGGCGCGCCGGGTGGAGGCGGAGGAGTTCTCTGTTGATAGAGGCTTTGTCTCCTCACGTTTTCAGTCAAACTTGTCGCAGAGTTCTCAGAATTCCCCCTCAGAGGAGCGGAAAGTTAGGGAAGTACAGTCTGGTTACCCAGACAGCGGGGAGGCAGACAGAGCATCACTTTGCGGGCTGCAGGCTCAGCCCGCGCGTCGGGCCGGGATGGGAACTTAGCCGAGGGGAGTTGTGGGCTCAAAGGCGATTCCAGGGACGTAGGGGAGGGGGCTTCACTTTTCCTTGTTAGGAGACGCGGAGCGAGGGGCCGTGGGGTGGGGCGGGAGAACGGTCGCCTTGAGCAGCCTCCTGAGCGAAGTGGGCTGTTTCCCCCGGGAAACTGCGGCGGAGACGGCTGGGGCACGTCCTCGCCCAGGAAAGTCTCAGACTCGGGCTTGTACCTTAGGAAGAAACCTTAAGATATCCTGGCCCGACCACTTCGTGCTCCAGAGAAGGAAAAGACGGCTCGGAGCGAGCTTGAACACCGCGGCAGAACCCGGGCTGGAACTCAGCTCGCAGGCCCACCACCAAGGCTCCTTTCCCTTCACCAAGTTTGCAGCCAGGAGGAGAGGTGAGGACAGGGGCGCCAAGATGCCGGAGGGCTGCCGATTTTCACTAGAACGCTAATTTTGTGTAAGATGTTAGGAGTGATTTTTGAAATTCCTGTAACTGGTAAATGAATTTCATTTGCTTTATTTCAAAATGATACGTTTGAGAAAGAAGAAAAAAAGTCGCACACCCACTCTTCTCTTTAAAGCAAAGCTTGAAAAGCACTGAGCAGTTAAGATTTTCAGTGTCTGAGATGAAGAGAGTGTGGGAGGTAAGTACAGTTAAAAACGTGTAGCCCACCCAAACAGAAAGACCAGATTTGAATTCAGGCTCTGCTACTTACCAAGAATGTGATACTGAGTTAATTGCTTGACCTTTGTGAGCCTCAGTTTCCTTATTTGTTAAACAGGGTTAAAAGTACTAATTTGATAGGACCGTGTGAGGCTGAATCAGGTAATGCACACAAATGCTTGCCTGGCACAGGTGGGTAGGCGCTCAGAATAGTAATTTCCTTCCTCTTTTCCTCTCAAGTATAGCTCACTATTTGGGGAAGAGGGGGATCAAATTTAGTCAGAACTAGAAGAGATCTTAAACATGAATTATTTAAACGTGTCTCTTTTTTTCCCTTGAGAAGATGGATCCCCCACTGAGTTGGCTCCCGCTGATGAGGATTATTCAGTGAGCCAGGGGCAGTGCCAGGATCTGAAACCAGAACTGAAGGCAATGCCCAGGAAGGGGGAAGGCTTTTTGGAACATAGCCCAAGCTCACCCAAACAAGTTGGGTTTTAGCATTATGAGATACAGACCTACATGGAAATTAAAAATGAGAACTGAATATGTATTTTCAAACACGTTACAAACTGACATGAATGGGTAAATACTAATATTTGTCAAGTTCTAGCCACGTGCCAGATGTTGTACTATAGGCTTTACATTTGTTTCTCCCAACATCTTAATAAAGTAGGTATTATTATCATCCCCTTTTACAGATAAGAAGACTGAGGCATACAGAGATTGTCTTTTGCAAGGCTGCAAATTTAATCAGTGCTGAAGCTAATATTCAGACCCCAAGTGTTTTGGCTTCAGACCTGGTCTCATTCACTGCATTGTACTCTCTTCATGCACTTAACCATGTATCATACCAGTGATCAGTACTTAGTGTCCCCAGAGGTTGGGTCTGCATTTTATTGTAGGGAAAATTAGGGAAAAAAATGGAGTGGGAGTTTGGCATAAAAGCATTTCCCCCTCAAGAACTCAGAACAGTCATTGAGGTATGTGCCAACAGTTTAGTGCTTCTCAGCTCCTTATTCATCTTCTTTGCCCTTAATTGTGATATGTAGAGCTGGAACCTGTAAACATTGCTTTGTTCTCAGTTGGCCCAATGTTAGGACTTGTCAGTAGAAGATGCTGGAGGGACACTGCATAAAAAGAGAGGCCTCTTCTTGGTACCAGTGCTTTTCTTCTTGCTCCTATGGTGTGGTCAGTGAGTGGCTTTCTGGCCAGTGATGTGTTAGAGACCAGTGTTTGACTACCCTTCATTAACTTTGGCTGGTTCCCCAGTGTGTGGCTTTCTAATAAGCCTTACTGGCATCCCAGTGGGTGGATTCCTAGCAAGTTTCACTGACACCGCAGCTGGTGGTTTCCTCACCAGCCCAATCTGTGACACCTCAATGAATTTCATTTGCCGTCAGTTGGGCCACAGCCACATGATCTCCAATAAGATCTGTCTCCCTGTCTTAGTAGCGTAGAGGACAGGGATGGGCAGAATGGTTCTTCTAATTTATTGCCTAAGTTATTGGGGGCTTTCCCACAGCCTCAGAGGTACTGGCTGCTCCCTAAACCACTACCCCTGTATTTGTTAGTGATCTCCTCTCTTAGTAGTCACTCCCCTTTTACTAGTTAATAATTCCTTATATTAGCATTTCCCTGTGTCAGTTATTGTGTTGTTTCTGGCTCCTGCCTGGTTCTTGTGTGCTGTCGGTGTAAAGGGATCATGTAGAACCATCTGGGGACTTAGAAATTGGGATGCTGCGTCTAGCTATACAACTTGGACTAAGTCACCTAACCTCTCAGAATTTGTTCCCTCATCCGTAGAAAGGAGGTGATAATATATATAACAGGGTTGTGTTAGCATCATTTAAAATTTGGATGCATTTTAAATGCATGAAAAAAATTTACATGTATTCTGAGGACTTGTTAGGTTGTTTCCTGGGAGTAAAAAAACAGCATTTTCTGTCAGATATATTGTCATCAAATAAATTGTTGGTTAGATGCCTTTGCTAACTTTTCAGGGACAAAAGCACATAATTGTGAGTTCCAAGTTGTTCAAGTTTCCAGTGCTATGAAAAACATGACTGAAATTACAATCATTTTAAAATGCTAGATTCAGACTAATTTGATTACTTTCTATTCTGGTATCCTTCACATTTGCTTCATTTCTTCTTGTCTTCTTTACCCTTTCTGGGTTTGATGCCTGTGTCAAGAAAGAATTATTTCATTGATGAGCACTCTGTGCAGAATATGGCACTAGATTTTGCATGCTATTAAAAAATAGTTTAACAATCTTAAAAACTGAAGGGAGAAAAGCATTCTTATCACTTTGCGCATTCTCTGGCACAGTATAAATGCTCAACAGAATTCTACCTGATGACAGATATGTCCAGAGTGATAGTGTATAAAATTTCATTATATGACTACCACCTTAACACAGATTTTTATCTTTAGTACTAAATGATTATCTCTTTACACTCATACTAATGTCTTAAGGAAATGGAATGCAGAAGAGCACATATTGATGAAGAAAAGACGGAATATGCTTAGCAATGAGGCTGACGTTAAGAAGTCAGATTCTTCAAGAGCTTGGGACAGGGTCTGAGAGGTGATCTTGGTGATGATAATGGCAGTGTATGATAAACTTGACCCACTCCATAGTTTGTCTGTGGCCATTCCGATTATTAAACCTCCTTTCACTTCTGCTTCATTATTCACACACAAAAATGCTAATCCATATTTATAAGGTGGATTTATTTAGCGTAATACTGAGCTTCTCAGACTTTTCTATCAAAATATCTCTAACAATGGTATGCTCGCCCACCCCCAGCCAAGAATAATCTTATTTTTTAAGAGTAATCTTATTTGAAGTCTCTAGTTTTTATCCAAAAATTCATATGATTTTTCTACTCTGTAGTCAGTTCATATTTATATGGATATAAAATATGATTTTTCCCCCAACTTTGCCTTAAAGATGTTCCAGGAGGATTTTCTATGTTTATCTGCTCGTTTCTTGGCCCAGCCTGGTAACTGTGTAGGTATCTATAGCTTAAGTACACTGACTGGATATACAAGCCCAAGTTCTGGGGAGAGAATTTGGGCTATGAAGATAGATACGGGGACACTTTGAAACCTTGGCTCTTCAGCCTTACCCAGCACTGTGCTAAATGTGATAATAGAAAAACACTGAACTCCATTTTTACAAAATCTCTTAGTAGGCAGAAAAGAGAAGAAAGATCACTGAAAAAGATTGTATTGCAAGGAGAGGATTGAATGTTGAGAAATCAAGCTTCTTGAAGTTAGTGAGGGGAAAGTTTAGGGGCTGAGATACCTCCAAACACTTGCACAGAACTGCATATTTCATTTGGTATCTTATCAAACTACATTATAGTGCTAATTCTCTTTACCTGAAAACCTCAAATATTTTGATGACTATAACCTTTATATCAATTAAATTACATAGGAGGGCCAGAACTGTTTCACTGTAGTCTAGAATTAATGTTCATGATTGTGCTTCTGCATATTTTAGAACCATTTTATTATGTCTTAGTATTGCTTATAATATTGGGATGGAATATATGGTCCAAAGTCTCCACAACTAAGGAACTTCCTTTCAAACAGCACTGTCAGTTAGTCACCTAGCCCTTTGTAAAAGATCTGGGGACAGGCAAAATGTGACTACTTAAGTCTACGAGGGTATTAGATCATTTTAGTTCGTAGAAAGTTCTGAATGATGATGTCCTTTCGCACATTTTTGTATGAAGTTCCTGGACCATACAGGATATACGAAGGCAGGGAAGAGAACTGCCAAAAACATTTAAATAATTGCTTCACTTTAACTACAGAGTTCACAGTGTGTGGAGCAATTTGACCAGCTCAATAAAAGAAAGCATGATAATGTTTTTTGTTGTTGTTCTGTGACTTTAAAGTCATTGTAATATTTTTTGTAAAGGATAATGGGTATTTTAGTAAGAACTCTTGATACTTTTGCTACCTATTCAACATATGCACAAAACACAAAAGGCTAATACTGTATTTGGATCTGGAAATGTATACTTTCTTACGGAGTACTATGCAGGTATACTTAAATGTCAATATCTGAATTTATCTTTCTTTTTTAATATTTTGCTTTTTACTTATTCTGTGCCTGTCAATCTTTTATCATCAGTTCACATTCCACTAAACTCAAAAAGTTATTTTCATACCTTTTATACTTTAGGCCCTTCTTACCAGATTTTTTTAAACACTTGAGAGATTCAAATACTTCAATTTCATGCCATGAAGTAGCTATGTGTGCCCCCCCTTTTTCTTATTTGAATGAGTAGTTCAATTGCTGTCACTTTATACTTTGTGATTCTAAATCTTTTAAAACCATCTTGCCATTTTTTCATGCATTCATCCTTATAGAAAACTCTATCTAAAAAACACTCTTACTTTCTAACTGCTGCTTTTTTTTTCAAAGTATTATTCCTTCTCTTTTCAAATGGACATCTCAATTTATTACTTTTTTCTTTATAGATCTCTGTAGATGTATCTTCAGGTTCCCATCAATTCCCATCATAAATTTTAAAATAGACTTAAAATATCCTACATGGGGGCGCCTGGGTGGCTCAGTTGGTTAAGCGACTGCCTTCGGCTTAGGTCATGATCCTGGAGTCCCGGGATCGAGTCCCGCATCGGGTTCCCTGCTCGGCAGGGAGTCTGCTTCTCCCTCTGACCCTCCTCCCTCTCATGCTCTCTGTCTCTCATTCT